TTATGTACATAATTGTTGACAAAATATCTTAGGTTTAACTTTTTGACTTTGCACCAGACTTTGCTTGCATAGTACGTTATTTCATTATGCTAATCACGCACAATGTACAGTCTGTTTACCTAACATACTCCTCTTTCATTCAAATATTTTGCAATTTTAATGTCGTCCTTCATGTCGGGTGTTTTTTTTCAATTCATTTTTTGAACAGTGCTCAATTGTGCTCGAGTATTTGTCGAAATGATCATTAGTTGGCGTTAATTATTTAGCTGTAAAAGAACGTGATGCCTCTGATCATGCGCAAATATTCATCTGATAGTTTGCCGTTTATTGGACAGCGAGCATCTGCGCGCGATGCGTCAATTCCTCGCGATATTTTATTGTTAAATACGAATGTAATCATTTATTGACAAGATCAGGAATACATGAAACCGTACTGCTATATTTTATTTAGCTTCCATCTCAGGAACGTGTTGTTATCGACACCGTGACACTTGTCGATACGAAACGTGAAACACAATTGCCATTGGTGTTGATGCCAATTTGTTGATTGTTATACAAATTGTTATACGACGATTCTAATTAATACATAAATACTGTTTGTAAAAACGATTCGCGACTACGTGTGTACTAGATGGCCAGCGAGATAAGAGAATATAGCGTTTCATTCAGGCCAGCCGGCGTCGATTTCGCTGCGTTTGCCAAACGACCGGACATGGTCGATAACGGCACGGTGGAAACGCGACGACGTGGCCGCGGCACGGCCGCGTCCATTCTCGTCGAGTATGGTGTGTCTACGATCGCGTAGCAACGCGCAACGCTTTCGACGTACTCGCCTAGCAGCGCGTCGTTTGGCAACGTCGAAACTTGCGGCGAATTCCGCATGAACGAGAACGACGCACGGCGACGAGAGCGCAATCCATCGGTTTTTACCCATCTATTACAAATGTACGTGCTCTATCCCGAAGATGCGTCGTCGTTCACGATGATGCGAGCAATCAAAGAATGGTTATCGCCCATATAATGATATAACGATGCTCCGTTTTTCTCACAGGATTACGTAAATGTACTTCGATTTGATAGGTCGATCTATTTATAGATGGAAAGACGGTGGCACGCGTTTCGTTGGCGGGCGAATCGATCAGGCTAGCTTCTACAACCGGTTCCAGCCGATCACCGGTTTCTCTGGCGGCGTTATTATAAATCCGGTGCGGTTGATGCGCGCCAGTATCACCGCATTGGAAATATGCGGCGGCGATAACCGGCCAACGGGGACGCGTCGCACACACACGCACACGTCGCAGAGGAAAGGAGGCAATCGCGACGTGCTCGCGGGTTTCACGCCGTCTTTTCAACCTCGACCGGCCGGGTAGATTTGGCAACGTTGCGGCATAGCAGCGGCATAGATTCCGCTCCGCAACCGCAACCGCACGCCAGCCTAGCGCCATGATGCCAAACCAAGCCAGCCGTACAACGGTTTCTCCGCAGTGACGCGCAAGCTGCCGGCGACGGCGTAGCATACACAAGCCGAATCGCTTGCGGGATCATAACGTTCCGTCCAAAAGCATTCTTTTCCAATTCTTTTCCTCCGGTCCTCGCGCGCGTCTCCCCCACGATTTTCGGCCGGCGCGCCACGTATTCACGCGCGACGTAAACATTCGGTTCGGGCTCATTGATCGTGCGCGACCGTACACACGCTCGGCTTAATCCGAATCGATACACGCGTGTCTTGCTCGTTCGGCAACTGGAAACACGATCGATCGACTCTCTCTCTCTCTCTCTCTCTCTCTTTCTCTCTCGTCGAGCCGTGTCATCCCCCTTTTAATCGTAATCGGTATCGGTTAAGTACCGGTCAATTTCTCTTCTTTGTCGCATGATTACGTGCCTTTCTTTCCTCTCTTTTGTTGCTGCCAATTGAGGCAATTGGACACGACAAAGAGAAGAGAAAGGCTAGAAGGAGATAAAGGACGGAAATTCTGAAGGGTGATTCTGACCTTGGCGCGACGAGTGCCAATGTTCGATACGGAGAAATTTATCGAGGAGATCGAGAAACGGCCGGCGATTTACGATGTGAATCGCAGCGAGTACAACGACCGTAATGCCAAGATGACCGCGTGGGACGAGGTCTGCCAGGTGATGGTACCGAATTGGGCGCGCTTGACGGACGAGGAGAGAAACGTAGAAGGTATACACAGCCTCTTGCGATCGATCGATCCGGATTCCTCGACTTGCACTTACTCGACCCTGGCACGAGTTGTCGTGACCATACACCAGCAATCGTTTAAAATTAGTACAAATTGCCAAAGCTTATAAAGCTGATCGTTGTTCGCTCGTGATGATTTCTAAGTTAGAAAAAGAGAAAAAAGAAAGAACAAGATATTTCTATCTTTCTCTTTTCCAGCACAATTTCCAGTCATTTTCTAAATTGATCCTTTGACAAGAATAATTTCATTCATTGACGCGCGAATGGTGATCCTTTATCTCGTGGTGTACAACAGAGTTACAACATAATTTTCAGAGAAAAATTTACGGGGAAAGTGGAGAAATATCCGTGACTATTTCATGAAAGAACTGAAGCTTCAGAAATCCCAGAAATTGGGGCCAGCTGGTCGGAAGCGTAAGAAATACATGTATTTCGATCAGTTGTTGTTCCTTATGCCAACGGTGGAGAACAAACGGTTAGTACCTTTTTTTTTTTTGACTCGAGCGCGAAGATCGTTCATATTTAAACGGCGGAGCAGTCGGTGTATAGCCGAACGCCTGTATTCCCATACGTTGCAGGAATGCCGGCACTACGTTAAGTAATTGCAAATCTGAGGAAAGCGAGGGCGAAATGGACAATCCGGTAATCGAAGAATACGATGTACCATTGGCCCACGCCGCTCCCTCCATTGCGACCGGCAGGGAATATCTACAACCGAGCGCATCCTATAAAATGTGCCCCCGTTATCCAAAGCAGCTTTGCGAGACGTCGTTCACGTCCTTCGATAATGAAATTCACGATATCTTGTCGTCGCACAGTAGCCAACGCGTCGCGTACGACGAGGATGACTACGACAAAATGTTTCTGCTCTCCTTATTGCCGATCATTCGACAAGTACCAGAAGAGAAGAAACTCGACGTCCGGATACAGATGCAACAAGTCTTGGCGCTAGCGCTTCGCCCTCCGGACAGCATGCAATGATAAATTCCAATCATTCGACAATTTATTAATCAAAGCGTTATGAAACAGGTCACGTGAGTATGCTAGTCCACGCGGAAAATTGTGCCTCTTAATTAATCGTTAGCAACGATGATTAAAAGGCAATCGATCTAATATCACGGATAAGATATTTTTGAACTTTGGAACTATAGCACTACGGAGTCACGATAGATTGCACTTTGATTCGTGTTCGTTCTAATAATGACTGATTACATGATAGATATATAGACGATAAATCGTGTCGTAAACGTAACGAAACTGTTCGAAGAGAACGTTTCGAACGTAGGCCTTTGAAACGAAAGAAAGAAAAGAACCATGACTTAACCGATTACCTATGACATCGAGTACCTATATCTGTGATATTACCCGAGAAAAACTACTTTTGACAGTTGCAAAACCGAGAATAGAATCTATAACGCTTCCTACTTTAGTATAGGAGGCGCGATATAGTTTTTTTTTTCTTTTTTCTTTTTTTTTTTACATAGAACTATGATATAACGTATGATGTATTTTCGTAACTTGAAATAATGATGTATCATCGATACTTATCCAACGTGGATGTGTGCCGCGAGATTATGATGAATAAACATGCGAAGAATGTGAAAACATGTTACTTGTCGTCGATACACAACTGGTTTACGTTTAAGGAAGTGTGGATAGATGGCAGCACCAATACCCTACTTTCAAACTTCTCGCTTCCCGTACACTCGACGAGGTAACAAACATCGAACCACTTAATTCAGCAATTTAGATTTTTAATTGAATCATGGAAATTATTCCATTAAAATGCGTCTACTTAATTTCCTCACTCAAATGTACTTGCAGTAGGATTTAACGTTAACCACTCGTATATTTACTCATTTTATATTAATTGATTATTTATCGGTTTGAAATAAAATTATCATTAAACTATGATAATTGCTGTTCGTATTGTATAATTTTCATCCTTCGTTCGTTTCACGATCAAATGTCGGAGAAACAGCAACTTTGTGGAATCCATTATTTCTCGAGACGGTGACGCAAATGCTCGTAATATCATGTACATCTTGATATGGCGAGGAAATTTTAAAGTAGCACTTTCGGCTCATATAAAATCCCATCAGAATAATCCTAATTTGATACGGTTGACTGTTAATCGTTACACCGGAATGAGGACCTGTATCTCTTTTCTTAAAAGAATAAGTTAAGCGCTAAGTGGGTCTTAAATCGGGCTTGAGTAAGATTATGTCTGAAGTGTTTGTTGCGAATATTTGTTTTTAACTTGAAATATGTAGGAAGCTGAAGAACGCGACATTGTTGAACGTGGAATTTGTTTGGATATCGTGTCAATTTTACAGAATGCAAATTGGATTTAATTAATCTACCCTCGCATCCTCTACTGATGAATGGCATCCTGCTGCTGCCATAATATAAAACAGTATTCACGCGGGACATCTAATTATAACAATATAATGAGGTCCAAATCCAGCATACAAATTCACGATGTGTTCCTATTCTACTTTTAGTCAAGGGTACAAAGCGATCGAAAATACGATGCATTTCCCTTAGATAGATACACAGCGGTAAATATTGATTAAAAATGTTGCGATGTAAAAAGACCGTGTGGTTTCTGCAATCGTTGCTCTTCCAATCGTGATCGCGGATACGTAATCCCCACTGTAGATATAAAGCAATTTCAAACGGAATTTTCACCCGAATCTCTTTACGTACCGAATAAATTGAATTTCGATTCGATGTAACTAACCTGGACCCGTTCGTTTACCAAAATACCGAAACAATGTACTTTGGTATCGAGATCGACACGTACATCTATTAGCTGCTGCGTCCCCATGCATTTAAATATAAAATGCCAGTCATTGGCTTTCCATATAAATTGCATAGATCGTAGACGGCTTTGACCATAACGTTTGATCAATTTCGTTCTACAGCGGAACGGGAAGCGAAGTCGCGAGAGATTCCATCATCCTTTTTGTGGATGCCTCGAGCTTTTACGATCGAAAGCCTGAACAATGCCGTGTCGTCTTCGCATTGTTTCGTATCTTTCTTTCTCTTCAGCGATTGGTATTCAAAAAAAAAAAAAAAAAAAAA